TGGCTCAGGTGGTTAATCGTCTGCCTATGGCTCAGGTCATGATCTCAGGGTCCTGGGATCAAGCCCCGTATCAGGCTCCCTGCTTAGCCAGGAGTCTCCCACTCCCCCTGCTTGTGCTCTCTCTCTCTCAAATAAATAAAGAAAATCCTAAAAAAAAAAAAGGGAACCTGCCTATATAGGAAAGCTAAGTTATGGTCTTAAACACAGTCTTCTATGTTTCCACTTTCATTTGCCAGCAATACAAACCACCCACCCTCACAGTGACTTATGCAAAAACTAGCATTCTATAAATGTCATTCTATACCTTGCATTTTTTTCTTAAATATATCCTGCCAATCTCTCCACAATCAATATAGTTAGAAACTCCTATTCTTTCATCTCCCCACCTCAGCTGCAGTTTCCACTGCATGTTTATTCAACCAATCCCCTACTGATAGGCACTTGAGGCATTTCTAACCTGTTATGACAAAGCCTCATTTTGTACTCACGCAGGCATAACTGTCATCTATTTTTCTACAAGAGGGATTTCCATGTCAAGGGTAAACGCGTTTGTGATTTGGAGAAACGTTACCAAATGCCCCTCCATATGGGGTTGTATCATTTTGCACTGCTACCAGCAATGTATGAGAATGCCTATCTCCTCCTAATTTCATCAATAAAATGCAGTGTCAAATGTATGATAGGTACAAACTGGTACCTAAGTATAGTTTCATTGTGAATTTCTCTTATTATGACACTGAACACCTTTTTGTTTGAAGATCATTTTAATTTCCTCTTTCACACACGTCTTTTGTCCATTTTTCCACTGGGTTGTTGATCCTCTTCCTAGAAGCTCTTCCCATATTAGGTATTAGCTCTTTGTCTTTAACAGGCATTACCAATATTTTCCCCTCCAATTTGTCATTAGTCTTTTGATTTTGTTTAGGGTAAAACACAATGATTTCAATTAAAACATATATGTAACAAAAATGATCAGCAATTTGAGTTAGGATACAGGTCAAATTTCCCAGAATTACACAATCTTTGTAGACATGGAATTTGAATTTATTTTCTAAATTGCAGGCACCCATAGCTACATTAAGCAGCTTCCTTACAAAAAGAAAACCTCTCAATTGTTAGCTTTCTGAAGCGGGAAGAGCACATTTTTATGAAAGAAGATTATGATGTGCATATGTAACCACATGCAGGCATGCATGCTGGCGGTGAGGTAATAGAGAATAGGAAGAATAGAGCAGAAAGGGAGACTGAAGGGCTGAGTAAGGAAGAAAGGTAAACACAACGAGGTAGATTAATAGGATGGAATAAAAAAGACAGAGGGAGAAAATTCCAGACCAGTAAAGATGTCTAAGATCATCCAGAAAATTTAGGGATAATGAAAAAAGAACAGTGCCGTGCCATGCCATCATACAGCACTTGATCCAGGCTAAATATACTAAATACACTTTAACCATTTAATAAATAACTGATTACCTATTATGTATAGTGCCCAAAATCATAGGGGTTACAATTTACCTGGGGAAAGCAAGACATTTAATTGCAAAAAGGTAATAAATATATAAGTTTAAAAATAGATAATACACCAAAGCAACTACTTTCTTGTGAGGACACACAAGAACCATAATATTTAAATTCTAGAGTCTTAAGCACAATGGTAAAAGACTAGGGAAAACAAACAGGCATTTAAAGAAAAAACTCAAAGAAAAAGTATTTTAAGTAGACAGGTCTGAAACTAAAGCTACTTTTAAGTAGACAGGTCTAAAAACAATAACCTTATCTCTTGGCTTTTTTTGAAAATCAGTACTGCCAGTGGGCATTTTACAAACTTTTTTATAAGGTACGTAATTCAAAAGTCCAAGCTGGTTAGGCTGAGAAAGATCTTCCAGAATGAGTTTTTCAGATCTTGAAAGATTAGAGACATAATCGGAATTTTCACTTGGACTAACACTAGAGAAAAAAGAAAAATATATTTTAGTTCCTAATTTAAGTATTCACTCCAAATTTCTATACATTGAATAAGAAAACAGAAAGAAAAGCACCTGAAGTTCTGCTGGAAATCACATTCAGTTATGAACTTAAGGCAATGTTTCAACTAAATTTCTTAATTGTAAATGAGTTTTAAACTAACAATCTGTAAGTTAGAAAGAGACTCTATGCTAGGATTACTTAAGATTCAAAAAATAGTCATAATAATAAAAGATTAAGCCCAAACATATATTTTATACTCTGGGTCCTAATATAGCAAAGGTGTTTACGTAATGTATAAACATTAATGTATAACACTTCTCTGACATTTCTATTTTTTTCCTAAACCAAGAATTACATTAAAAATTACAGATTATTTCAAAAAAATTTACAGATTTCATATTCTATTCTATTAGAAACACAATATATAATAATGAAATTCATACATTTTTCGTTCATAAAGTCATATTCTGAAGTCCTTATGTGATTTTACTTACGTACCTGGATAGCTCTTCCCCTAAACTCTGCAAACTCCATTCCGTTATCTTCAGTTCATGTCTTAAGGAAGCAACATTTGCAAGCAAACTTTCTTCTTCATTGTCTTTATTACAGTAGTCTGATGAACTAGATTCCATTTCTTAAAAAAAGAAGTGTATTTCTTGTACCTTGCCAGAAAGAATCTGTGGTGTCAAAATACTCTCACATTAATAGAATTTAACTTATTATTTTTCTATTTATCTCAAATGTTGTGCAAACTTTCATGGTAATTTAAGACAAAACAAAACAAAAACCCAGTAACAATGAATTTCTCTGCAGTGTAAAGCCAAGGAAATAGAAAGTTCAATAGTTCCCTTTTCTAAACACATTTAATCTTTCTAACAATAGTGCACATTAAATATTGTTATTCCATGTTAAAGTTAAAACAAACTAAGAATAAGGCAAATTAAATAATTTGCTCAAGGTCACATAAACTGTAAATGGTGGAAACAAGATTTGAACCTAAGACCTCAGGATGCAAAGACCTTTTAATTATGTCACACTGCAATTTCTAACTTATAGATCAATTTCAAGATGAGCTTCTGAACTTACATAATCAAGTTACAAGCTCTGGAAATCTGATAAAATTGATATCATTATTTTATTAAATTAAAACTGGTATCATATGTTTTCTTAATGGCGATTTATTACCAAATAAAGGTTATCTCCTCCTCCCATTCACAACAGTTATAAGATTTAAAAAACACACACATTCACATCACAACCATAGAGATCAAAATGGCATTTGGCAAGTTAACTCAGAAATACATGAAGAAAAATTTCTCTTTCTTCAACTGATGAGTATCTCTAGAGTTGTGAAATTCTCTACTAAACTTTACACATAAAAATCGTGATAAAGGGCCACATTTTATTATTAATAATACATATAATCATTATGTATTAAAATACATGTTAAGAATATGTACATATACATATTAAAAATGTATTAAGAACTAAGGCTTTAAAATCTCTACTACTGTAAATCTTTTTGCATCTTAAAATTACATTCCTCTTTCAGATCCCATTTACCTTTGTCATTGTAGCACCTCTCTTTCATCACCCTTCTAGAATTCTGACATCTCAAGCTCCAAAAGGTTAGGAGTCTTATGTATTATGTTCAGGACTATTAAGACACTTACAGAAGGTCAGGATGTTCAGTGAATAAATGCCTTCCTTCCCCTCATCCAGCTAAAATAGGCAAATTTATTCCCCACTCAAAATTTCTCAGATGTAAGAAGGAAGATTAAAAAGAAACCCCTCACCTTATTGGAAGAAACTGTGACAGGAAATTAAATGAGACGCTATGTAATCGCAGAGAGAATGTTTCTTTTTTCCCCTTTCGTTTGCACAAATTTGCTTCTGCTTAAATGAGAAGACTCTCCCATACAAAAGTCAATGGATCAGGTCCCCATTCTGCTTTACCTTTTCAACATTTCTAGCCTCCTACAGAATGGTGAAGGAGAAAGGGTACAGACAATTTGGGTGAATTCTAATATGTCATTCGATATTACGTTTCAACTAAATCAGGTTTTACGTCCACCATCTTCTGTGTATTTTAATGTAACAATTCCCTAACACTTACGTACGAATGAATACATTTTCTTTTAATTTTTTTTCCTACTGAGCCATGAAAACTTTTCTTCCCTTCAACTTACAGTAGGTTATAAAAGTCTATCTTCACTGCCTGTACATACGCGGAAAAGTGCATCATGCTACGACCTACAGGCCCTGACCTGATCACCTGCTCCTAATCACGCGTTGGTAGCTTTATGCGCACGCGCACCCATCAACACCGAAAAACCGGTGTTGTTTATAAACCTTGTATGTAATAGGATGGGCTGTAGTCGAAAAAAGATTCCTCAATTTGGAAGGAGGTTATAGATTTATGTTGTATGGTCCTGTTACCAAGAACTCTCAATTTGACAGAACTGATCCCACGTTCATCTGAAAGAAGCGGAGGAAAACATGACGTCTCCCTCTCCGATTTCTCAAATAAAATACAAATCTGCAGAGCAGCGTACGCAGCAAGCGTGAAGACGATGCGAAGCGCGTCCAAGGGTGCTGGGAGGGAAAGGAACAAAACTCCGCCAGGTAGGCCTGTTTTCACCCTCCAAGGAGCAGTCACTCACCACCCAAGTCGTAGTTGGGAGACAGACCCACCTGACAACAGCGCACACCGCGCTCTCGTCCGCGTTCGGAAGCCTCGGACCCTCTCCTGAGCTCGGGCTGTGGAAGCATCAGACACTCCACGCGGGCAACGAGTGAACCCCGGCTGCACCGAGTTCGAACTGCCGCGGGAGCCGTTGGGGACGCACCTCCCCGGCCGCAGCTCCGCCCCCCGCGCAGACTCTGCGCGAGGCGACGCAGAGGCGTGGGGCCTGTCGGGGATCGTGGTCTGCGAGCGCGTCCAAGCCCGCTCGCCTGGAACTACATTTCCCATAATTACCCCTAAGACGCCCATTGGTTGGGGGGGAAGCCATGGGAACCTGCCGCCCTGGTGTGAGGCGGAGCGCGCTCATTCCAGCCCTGAGGGGGCCGAGACCGAGAAGTGTGCGGAAAAGGACTGCTGGCCCCGCCCCTCGGACCCTACCCTTCGGAGGCCGGCGTTTCCCGCTCTGAGGGGTCCTCTGCCGCCGTCGCGGCCGCCACCTGGATTCTTCAGGCTCCAGGTTTCCCTGCTAACCACGAGGAGTCCAGGGAGGAAAAGCGGAGCCTAGGTGCCAATAACCCACACTTCCCGCGTCTCTTCCAGCCCGAGATCGCCCCGGCAGGGATGGGCGACAAGATCTGGCTGCCCTGCCCGGTGCTCCTCCTGGCCACTCTGTTCTCAGTGCTGCTGCCGGCGGCGGCCGGCTTCACGCCCTCCTTAGACAGCGACTTCACGTTTACCCTTCCGGCCGGCCAGAAGGAGTGTTTCTACCAGCCCATGCCCCTGAAGGCGTCGCTGGAGATTGAGTACCAAGTAAGTGTGGGAGGGTGAGGCAGCCTCCTTTATTCCAGCTACCCCGCGTCTTCGCCTCTCACCCACTTAGAAACTTCTTGTGGACTGCGAGGGTGGTGAAGAGGCGAGGGCCGCTGGAGTAGCCGGCCCTTTCCGCGCACGCGCGCGAGGTTCGGCTCTCCTGGCGCGGGCGTCCCAGAAGTTAGGCGGGACCTGGAATTGACTACCCGCCCTCTCCCCTTTCCTCCCGTTGGAAAGAGGCCAGCACTGGTGATCTTGGTGGTTTTCCCTTTTGTTTCATAATTCGCCCATCGCCTTGCTAACCAGCACACGCTCTGATGCTGGGAATTTCTCAATACAGGACTGATAACACGTTCTCCTTCATCATTGGAGGAGATGATGACACTTGTTTTGTTACCCCGACCACGCTCACCCAATTCCGGTATTATAAATCTTCACTGTCATCGCTTCCTTTAAGGATTTTTGAACTGTGAACTTGTGATTATCCCTAAATCCGATTTTGGAATATTTTGAAAGGAGCTCTTGATGTATTTAATGGGTACATTTCCTTCTCAGTTATATATTTTTAAATCAAGCAATATTTAATTGTATATTAAAACTTTATAACTTGTAGTTCATCATTGTAAGAATTTCTCCCATATCATTGTTTTCTTTTTAGTATCTTCATAATATTATGTAGGGATTTGGCTTAATTTATATAGTCATTTTGGTAGAGGGTAATTTCTTAGAAGAAATCTTGTTAGTTGCACACAGCTAATTTTGATGTCTCTGGGTAGCACTGCAAAAAAAAAAATGCGTTGGTGTGGTTCACCTTTTAATTTTTCCCAGATTATTTAATTTATAATCAGATAATTTTTTTAAGTTGATGCAAAGAATTATTTTCAACAGTTACTGTCACCTATAGAGCAAAATAAGTTATGTAGAATTTTCATCGGAAGGAACCTTAGAATTAAATTATTTCTAGATATTTAAGGAAAGCAATAGCGCAATATCTGAAGTCATATAGTGAGCAAAACTGAGGCTAGACCGCAACATTTATTGATCTCCAGTGTAGTTCAAAAGTTCATTTACCATGTGCCAGTAATTGGCAGGGGTGGAAGGGGGATGAGGGGAGTGTGGATGAGATGACCAACCATGACATGGACAAAAAAAGAGTCCGTTTTCAAGGATATTATTTAAGGGATACTGGCTAATAAACAGCTAATTTCAATAAAGTATCGTTAAGTGCTGTTAGAGGACAACCACTTCTCTGGTGTTTCAGAAAAGGATTCCTAGAGAAAATAAATTTGAATTCTGAAAGATGCTTAAGTGAGACAAGAATGCAAAGAAGGCAGGGCATTTCAGGAAAAGGAACAAAACACGAATAGTTATAAAAATGCGTAGTGTTTTGTTGCTGGGCAGTATGTGGACACTACAAGTGCTGAGTTTTTATTAGACTTGAAGACTAAAGTCTAGGGTGCGAGTAGAAGTAAAATAGATTGGAGAGGTCAGGAGGCTGGATCATGGATCATGAATCTTTAGGCTTGTGTGCCATGCTGAGTGGCTTTGCCCTTGGTCTGTACAAGGGCCACTGAAGATATAAGCAGCATGGTAACAGTCAGAAATGTTTTCCAGATAGATCACTGGGTACAGTGTGGGAAAAGGAGGGCAAAATTAGAGGCAAGGAAACCCAACTGGAGGTTAAAAAAAAATTTGTATTATTTGAAAATTCCTTAGTATTTATCCAGGAATTGGTATTAGGAAATGTATATGAACTACTGACCTCTTATGATTATGATATAAAATCTGTACAAATAAAATGCTTGGGTTGAAATCCTAACTCTGTCACTTACTACCTCTGTGATTTGAACAAGTTATTTAACCTCTCGCTTGTAAAATAGAAATAGTAATTACCTCACAGTTGATTTTAAGAAATGAGTTAAGTGTTCATAGACCATCCCTGACACTAGTAAATAGGCAGTGAATGTTGGTTTTTCTACATTTATACTTCTAGAGTTATATAGCTGGCTTGGCTTAGCTTTATGCTCTGCATCTTTAGTCACTCTTAAAGGGACTGAAGTAATCCCCCTGAAGTAATCCCCCTAAACAACTTAATTGTTTTGATTGAAGAAAGAAGAGAGAAGTAAAATGATTTAATGTCTGTAGTCCTAGACAATGTTGAGGGGTTTGTAGAGTAAGAGGTAATCTTCACCTTTTTGTTTGCATTTTCCAATTCCATGATTAATTTTCCAATAACAGCAGCTACTGCTTTTTGTCTTTGTTTTTAAAATGTCAGGGAACAGACATTCCAGACATTGCCCTTGGGTCATACTGTGACATACTGAAAATTTTTAACCATTTCTTACTTTCCATCTTAGGAGGACACTTTTAGAATAATTGACTAGCCCCACATTATATTAAGTTCTTGAAAATTTTAAGTGTCAATACATATATCTTAGGAATAAACTAGATCATTCAGTTAACTTTTTAAAAATCATTGCTAAGTGCTTAATTTGTTGGAGCACTATGCTAAGTGCTACGGATATAACGGTGAGTAAAAATATAGTCCATGTTCTCATACAATTTAGTATGGAAAAGGACAGTAATCAAACTGTTTACAAATAAATGTAAAATTGTAACTCTAATAAGTGCTATGAAGGTAGGTATATACAGCTATGAGAAGATTTAATAGGAGGACTTAATTTCATCTGGGAATTGAGAGAAGACATTCCAGAAGTACAATTCAGATCTGTAGAAAAATCAGCCTTATTAGGCATAAGGGGATGATTTAAATTTGCATTGAGGAAGAAGACAGAAGAAAGCTTTTGAGGAACTGAAAGACTGTTACAACAACAGTACAGACTAGGGAGAGTGGCACTCATCATCTCCTAGTGAAATCATCAGGAAGTTTAGTTTCAGATTATGGTGTTTTTTAAATAAATATTTTTATGCTTTAAAATTGTATTTTATATATTTTTAAGTTATCTTCTGTGTTCTTAATTATCATTTTTAACAATTTCATTAAGCCTGACAGCCACTACCAATAATACCTTTTAAATCTTTTACTGAAATCTTTGTTTAGTTAGATCTCTTATTTTCTGATTTAATAGTTATCTTTTTTTGGCTTTTTTAGAGGATAACTTTGAGTAATTCTTTTAAAATGCTTTGAATCCTTGGACAGACTTTTTGCTTTCACTTTAGTAAATATAATTTTCTTTTACTTGGGATCATTGAAGACATGGCCATATTGTTTTTTTTGCATCTAGTATTATATGTAAGAATTCTGATGCCAATCCCAATTCTTATAAGTAGTAGTTCTCTACTACTTATCATTGGAAGTTTCTAGGTTGTTCTTTTTAAATCCTTTGGAAAGTCAGTAGGAATTTTTTTATCTTTTACATCTATTAGCCCCTTCCAGTCTCAAGATTTTTATCTTTTGAAGCAAGAATTTTTGTTCTTATTTGATGATTTCTTCCCTTCATTTCTCGTGGTTCTCTTCTTTGAAATGCTTGTTAGATAGATATTTGAAATCTTTAGCTCTGTCCTTCGCAAAGGGTCTTACCATTCTTCTCATACTTTTCATCTGTACTTTTCACCTTGTTCTGAGAATTCCTTGGTTCCTTCCAGTTCGCTGATTTTTAGTCTCTATCCATATTCATTCTGCTGTCATTACATTTGTTAAGACTTTCTTTTGGCAACATTTTTTATCTTTTTTATTTTTCATACCAGCAACCTCATTTTTATGGATTACACATTCTTGAATTTCTCTGAGGATATATACTTATGAAGAAACATTTTGAAGTCTGTTTATATTAACTATTTTTTCAGAATTTGATCCTTTCAGTAAAACCAGTAACATGAAAAAGAGAGCATTGATTTCAACAAATGTGTTTCTCTAGTCTGTTTCAGTGAGAATTTTGAGATAGCTATTGGTAGCTAGATATATATATCCTTTGCTCAGTGGACTATCTTCCAGAAATTCCTTACTCCTCATGTCTGTTAACAGTCTTCCTAGATTTCCAGTGTTGTTATTTGTATCAATATATTTTCTTCATTTTATTGGGATTTGAAGATTAAAGAGAATTATATATATTTAGCTGGCTATTTGAAACTACTTTTGTTGATAAGTAAGTATAGCACAGGAATAGGTAATTTTTTTTATCATTCCACTAAGGCCACCAAGAAAAATAAAATGGTGTGTTAAATAAGAAAAAGAGTAGTTATCGGAGGAAAACTGCTGAGTTCAAATTTTGACATTCATTGACTATATCTACCTTCAGAAAAGTATTTCTCTGTGCATTTTTTTGTGTTTTTTTTGTTGTTTTGTTGATTGGTTCTTCTGTTTTACTGAGAACAGTAGTTAAGACCTACCTCTTAGAGTTGTTTTGAGGAAATTAACCCAGATAAAGCACTTAAAACAATGTGTGGCATACACTGTAATTGTTAGCTATTATCATCATCATTTTGGGATTGTAAAGGAACTGTGTTCATTGGCAAGTAAACCAATAGCCTACTTGGAATATTTAGTTCATATTGGAAAATAATAAGTGAATGCACTGAAGAAGTCAATTGGAGTCAGATCATAGAAGTTTTGAGTTCTGGGTTAAGAAATAGCTAATTATTATTTTATTGAAGAGGAAACAAACTCAGAAAAGTTACATAGCATGCTCTAAATTGCCTAAGTAAAAAGGTTTACCATTTGAACTCCCTTCTGTGTTTCCTTCCACTCTACAGGGCTTCTCAGTCAAGGCAACATTTTAGGAAGATTATTTTAATAATATTTATAAGGCCTAAAGTTAGGTGATGGCAACAGGAATTGGTAAGAAAGTTCCAAAATGAATAGAATTGAATTGGATGATCTTTGTGCTCCTTTCTAGCCCTTACATGCATCTTATTGACTTTCTTTACCTCTCTAGGTTTAGAAAGAAATTTTTTTTTTTTTTAGTTTTTGTTTTGTTTTTAGTTTTTAATTTTTTATTGTTATGTTAATCACCATATATTACATCATTAGTTTTTGATGTAGTGTTCCATGATTCATTGTTTGTGCATAACACCCAGTGCTCCATGCAGAATGTGCCCTCTTTAATACCCATCACCAGGCTAACCCATTCCCCTACCCTCCTCCCTTCTAGAGCCCTCAGTTTGTTTTTCAGAGTCCATCGTCTCTCATGGTTCGTCTCCCCATCCGACTTACTCCCCTTCATTCTTAGAAAGAAATTCTTTTCATCATATGATCTACTTTATGTATTTTTTATTTCAGAATTTATAATGTGTTCTTTTCTTTGTGCTTTTCTACAGGTTTTAGATGGAGCAGGATTAGATATTGATTTCCATCTTGCCTCTCCAGAAGGAAGAACCTTAGTTTTTGAACAAAGAAAATCAGATGGAGTTCACACGTAAGTGATCTCTTAGTTGAGTTCCTTGGGCTGAGTAATACCAATGGGCTATCTGCAGGGCAGGGAAATTTAGCACATTTGATACAAACATCAGTATTAAATGATTCCATATGAACATTTTAAACAGTCCTAGATAGTGGTCTATCATAAACTAAAATGGCTTCCATTAACTTTTTTCTCTTTTTTTAGGCGTTTTGTATTGATCCTAAATTTTTTTCTTTGCTTTGGTTAAATAAGATGAGTATGCCCTAGGTATTGCATTCAGTCTGTTACGGCATTTTAAACCTGTCTTTCTGACTAGCACCACCTTTCCATTTTATGTTACTGTTCCAGGTACGTATCCTATAGTTTGAGCTGCTGGCTTTATCATCTTTGCCCACTATTTCCTTTCTTAAAAAAAACAAGTACTGGGTGGCTCAGTTGGTTAAGCAACTGCCTTCGGCTCAGGTCATGATCCTGGAGTCCTGGGATCGAGTCCCACATTGGGCTCCCTGCTCAGCGGGGAGTCTGCTTCTCCCTCTGACCCTCTTCCCTCTCGTGCTCTCTGGCTCTCATTCTCTCTCTCTCAAATAAATAAATAAAATCTTAAAAAAAAAAAAAAAGTACATCTTTGTGCATATGTGTTGTGTGTGTATGCCTGTAAAAGTTGGGTTTTTTTTACTCAGACCTCATTCTTTTTAGATAATTAGAAGATGTGATAGTAAAAGATCTGACCATAGGAAACCAGAAAGAAAATAACTTGTTAGAAGTTTAGAGTTTGACAAAAGGCTATATATGCTCTCTTAATTTCACTTCTCTTTTTCATATTTCAGTAGTGTGTTTCCCTGTTCATTCTGTCATTTTACTACAGCACTTTGTTTACTTATTGCATTAAAACTAAACTCGAGTTTACAGGTAGAGGAAAAGCAAATACAGTCTAATATTTGCCATAAACTAGGCTTTGCATTTTATACGCTTCAAATTAATCATTCCAACCCACTATGAGAGATTCTTTGATTCCCCAATTCCCATTTTACAGACAAGGAGGCTCAGAGAAGTTAAATAAGTCTGCAGGGATACACATTTATTAAGAGGAGGAGGCAGGATGGATCAGAATTCTTGCTTTCTACCATACGATGCTTAGAACATCTCTCGCACATAGCACTATGTAAGTACTAGCTATTATAGTTACTGGTCTTTGTTAACCGGCATACTTGGCATGTAATTGATAGCAAATACTAAACACATGTATGAATGAATGAGGGGGAAAATATCTCAACTATAATACTCTTTTCAGAGTGCTTTATTTTTATTTTTTATTTTTTTAATTTTTAAATTTTTTGTATTTTTTAATTTTTAAAGTTTAAGTTTTTATTTAAAATTTTTTTTAATTTCTTGTTTTTTATTTTATTAAAGTTTTTTAAAATGGCATTTTACCTATGCAGAGCTCAGAAAAAATATTTGTATAAATTATTAATAAAATAGAGAAACTAATTTAAAAAGTCAGTTTCAATTGATATACTTGGAACTATGCTTTCTCTTTGATAGTTATATGAACAGAAACTAAAAATGTAGCTCATCTTTAAACTTCAGAATCTAGAAAATCTGTAGAATTTCTGTCATTTTTTCCTCCAATTTTCTCCTTTCTTTTAGAGATAAATTAAGATTAACTGTTGGGAGAAAAGGTATCTTATTGGTTTCTTGCATAGAATTACCTCTCATTAAACCAGTGGGAAAAAAGAATGAGTTTATAAGAGTTTACATTTATTGAGTTCTTTTGATGTGCCAGGCTACTGTTCTAAGCACCTTATATTTATTAATTTTTTTTATTCTTCACCACAGTCCTATGAGGTACATATTATCATTTTATCAATAAAGAAATTGAGGCAAAGAGCACTAACGTAAGTTAATGAAAGTTACACATCTAGTGAACAGGCAGAGCCAGGATTTAAAACCAGGCTGTCCAACTCACTCTTAATCACTACACCAAATTTACAAATCTGCTTTCTAAAAAATCAGATTTAAGGTGGCTCAGTCATTAAGCGTCTGCCTTCGGCTCAAGTCATGATCCCAGGGTCCTGAGATCAAGCCCCACGTCAGGCTCCCTGCTCAGTGGGAAGCCTGCTTCTCTCTCTCCCACTTACCCTGCTTGTGTTCTCTCTCTGGCTGTCTCTCTCTGTCAAATAAATAAATAAAATCTTTAAAAATATATAAATAAATAAATAAATCAGATTTAAACAAATTTTATCTTAGCTATATTAACTTTTTTTTATTTTATTTTGTTTTTTTAAAGATTTTTTATTTATTTGAGAGAGAGAGAATGAGATAGAGTATGAGAGGGGCGAGGGTCAGAGGGAGAAGCAGACTCCCCGCTGAGCAGGGAGCCCGATGCGGGACTCGATCCTGGGACTCCAGGATCATGACCTGCGCCGAAGGCAGTTGCTTAAAAATAAAAATAAATAAATAAATAAATAATAAAAAATCAGATTTAAACAAAATTTTATCTTTAGCTATATTAATTTTTTAAAGGCAGGTTATAAAATATCTCTGTTATGGCACTGAAATAGTTTTTTTCTTCAATCAAATCCTTAAATACTGTCCTTTCAGAAGGCAGCGTTAGTAAAAATGTCTCCAAACAGAACTATAAACAGCTTAAGTAATACCTATTCGCTGGCACTTCCAGGAATAAGTCTGTGTTTATATTTTTTCTAGACAGCTGAATTTTAACGTTACTGTAACTCACGCCAGAATTTATGCGTTCTGAACTACTGTTGCTCTTTATTCTACTTGAAGGGAAAATTAACTCTGCAATTTTTATTTGGATAATATTTTGTATCACTTGTAGTATTAAAGTTCCTTTCTACTAAAAGCAGTCAACTGATTTAGAAAGAGATTAGTATAGGAATGACTATAAAGCAGTAAAATACCTTTTTTTTTTCCATATACATGCTGAAGCTCATCCATGTGAGTCAGTGCTTCTCAAACTTTTTTCATTTTTACTCTTGTCCCCATGCAACCTTTCTAGACTTTTCTGCCTTATCATCCCCCCATGAAATTTTAAAACCAGTTTTTGTACTATATGTAGATCTGTACTTTACATGTAAAAAGAGTAGGTACAAACCTTCCCCTTTTTATCCAGTGCAGGGTTAAGAATGGCTAAATAAAGTTGAGTTAAATAAAATTAAGACTAAACAAAATTAAGAGTTAAATTTAAAAGTGATTAAAATTAAACATAGCTTTACATAAGTCAAAACATTTTTTTCCTTTTAAAATTGTTCCCCACTGTATTCGCCAGTATATTCTTCAAGCTTCTTCCAAAGGTTAATACATCAAGACAAAGGTTTGTCATGACTGAGGAGACTACAAGGAATGCAGACAGGCTCTGAGCAGTACTATAGAAAAGAAAGATCAATTAACATGAGAGTCAGAAAACCAAGCTTCGTCTATGCCTATGACAGGCTGTGTGATCATAGGCAAGTATTTTAACTTATGTGAACTTTATTTTATTTTACCTTGAAAAGGTCAATTATGCCTACTTCAAAATATGGTAAGGATTAAAAGAAAATATGTTAAAGTAGTGTGTAAATTATAAAGGGGTATGCAAGTATTGGCTATATTTTATTTATGGTATATATGTTAAGATCCAATCAAATTGCTGAGTACTTCTCTCATGCTTCAACTAAATAAATTGGATATAGGGGTGGAAAAGAAATGGAGATTGACTTAAAAGAATCACATGTTGTAGGCCAGTTATCTTGAATGTGAAGCTAATGAGACCAAGATACAAGTTTAACTTAGATGTGAGTGGCATTTATTCAGTAAAGCTAATGCCACTGAGTGTAAAGCTCGTTTGTTGGCCACTGATCCCTAATCTCTGTAAACCTATGTTATAAAGATGGTCTTTTTTTTTTTTTTTTAAGATTTTATTTATTTATTTTACAGGGAGAGACACAGCGAGAGAGGGAACACAAGCAGGGGAGTGGGAGAGGGAGAAGCAGGCTTCCCGTGGAGCAGGGAGCCCGATGCAGGGCTCGATCCCAGGACCCTGGGATCATGACCTGAGCCGAAGGCAGACGCTTAACGACTGAGCCACTCAGGCGCCCCTATAAAGATGGTCTTAATCTGTAGGAGGCCTGGAAGAAAGCATTTAGAACAATCCATCACTGCTTTTGAAAACAAGTCACTTTAGAAAGTAATCTAAATTAAAGGGGAGGTTTGTGGTCATATTTGCATATGAATTGAACTCATGATAAATTACTCTTAATATATAAATATTAAAGATCATTGTGAGGTATCATGTATCTATGTTTTAGTGTTTTTAATCCTATCCTTTTCCAAAAATTAGGTCAAGATCTTTTACCGTATTTCCTGAGTAAATGCCAAGCACATCTAAGTTGCAACTACTTATATATTTTACATATATATTTCCAGGTTGCCTCTTTCCCAAGAAATTATAAATTATCTTTCAATACTTAAGGAAGTCTTTTTATCAGCAAACTATCCAATTACTATAAACCATGTTATTTCTTACCTATAGTAATTTTTCCTTTGATCCCAAAAAGAAGTACAGATAACTGAAGACATGTACTTTTTTTAATACAGGGTAGAGACTGAAGATGGTGACTACATGTTCTGCTTTGATAATACATTCAGCACCATTTCTGAGAAGGTGATTTTCTTTGAATTAATCCTGGATAATATGGGAGAACAGGAGCAAGAACAAGAGGACTGGAAGAAATATATTACTGGGACAGACATGTTGGACATGAAACTGGAAGACATCCTGGTCAGTATGGTCTTTTAATAAATAAAAATTATCCAGAGCTCTGACTGTGTGATAGGCACTGAAATAATCATTTTCTCTGCATTATCTCATGTAATCTTTACTTAACTCTATGAGGATTATTTATCTCCATCTTTCCAATGAGGAAATTGTGGTTTAGGGGAGATTAAGTAATGTTTGTCACATAACCAGAAAGGGGGGGACTAGAACTTGAACACAGGCTCTTCTTAACTATAAAACTCCCTTAGAATGTTCACAAATAGAAGAAGGTAATGATCTATAGCATACTTGCACATAGAAAAAAAGTGAGCAGTTTGTAAACACTTAAAATGTTATAGGCATTTTTCTCACAGCATAATTTTTATAACATGAAATTTGATATTACTTGATTAATTTGGGAACACTGTTTACATTACTCAGACCAGACCTAGCAGTTATCAGAAACTAGGACTACATTCAGGAGTGAAAACTTTTAGAATATGGCTTCTTTGTTTGAATTGCCTTATCATTTACATGCATAATGAAATGTGCATGTGTAAGAACCTATTTGTCCATAATAGTATTGGTGATGGGGGAAAGGTCATTACCCTTCAGCCACAGGTAGATGTAATCAAATGATAGAATTTACTGAGTGGTATTTGTAAATAGCATATATAGCTGTATTATAGAAATTCCTGCAGGAGAAATAACATGGTCATTGCCAGTTAAAACTGTGTAATCTCTAATTGTCTTATAACCTGAATTTTTTTTTTTAATGTGGTATTTTGATCACTTGAGGTTTTTTAGGAAAGCAGCTGTCAAACAGCAGAAGAGACATACTATATGTAGATCAGTTAGCTTAGGAAGTCAGAAAATGAGACGATCATGTTTTATCATGTGTGATTGCTTAGTGAATGAGCCCTCACAGCCTTGGTTTCCTCACCTGCAAAATGGGGATAATACCTCTAGAGTTGTTGTGAGGATGAAATAAATGTCATGTGTCTAAGTGCTTTAAACAGTGTATGGCATAATACATGTTACTTTTCTTACCTTTTCCACTGGTGTTACTATGAATACAAACTGAAAGGATTAAGTTTGATTGGTATGAATTTTTACCATGACAGTTTTTTATCTCACCATAATTTCCCATGTATATATCTTTTAAATTTCAATCAATCATATTAACTTATTCTTCCATTTTAAATTTATTTTGCGAACAAGACTAAAACACTAGTACTTATAAACCTTATTAGTACTTAACTGCATTCTCAAGAGATTGAATTCATTCACATGGTTAAACAAAATGACCAGTAAGTTCAGATTTAAATATGGCTTAAAATACTTATAAGCCCTTTTTAAAGAAAAATGTCTTTCAGGAGCTTTATTTCCCCCCAAATTTTGTATCCTAACAGCAAACTTTGATAAATAATTTTGTGTTTGGCTATCATTGCTGTAATATTGAAAAGAACTATGCATGATCTTTTTTATTTGGGGATCTGAATTCCTTATTTTTCTAGAAAATACTTGCATTACTAGGTTACTGTTGCTTTACAAATATGCCCAAATGATAAATATTACACTTTGTAGTTTTGTAGGTTTAGCAGAAAGTCTGAAATTTTGAGTATAGTTTTTGCTTAAATAAGGATTTTAAGCAAGATGACTATGCAGGAAAATCTGTTTCTAGTATTTTCTTATTTTTGCCATAAGTACAGTTGACCCCTGAACAAAGTGCAGTTGAACTGAGGTCTGCTTATGCAGATTTTTTTCAGGAAATGTATTTTCTCTTACAATTTCCTGAGTTAACATTTTTCATTTTGCTAGCTTTATTGGAGGAATACAGTATATAATGTATGTAATATATATAACAGAAAACAGTGTTTTGACTGTTTATGTAAGGCTTCTGGTCAACAGTATGCTATTAGTAAAGTTTTTCAGGAATCAAAGGTTTTATGTGGATTTTTAACCGTGCAGGGCGTTGACCCCTCTAACCCCCATGTTGTTCAAGTGGTCAGCGATGTACTTTGACATCATTTCAAATCTCAATTTTAACTGATATTCATATAGCCCTCTTAGTTTTCAAATCACTTCTCTCACCAGGACCCTTCTATAAAAACAGGTTTTTCAGAAGATGTACAACTTAAGAGTGCATCTTGATAAGCTTGTTTTACAAATGTAATCTTGGAACATTTTTATATTAAAAATAGATTATACTTTTGGATGTATAATATGCATATCAAAAATTGGAATATTTTCTAATTTCACTATTATTTTCTGAGATGAAAACATTGGGTGTTTTGCTAGACACTAAATTGGACAAGACTAACATTCAAAGAAAATACTATAAAGACACAGTGCATTATATAAAGATAAATATCTAAAAGCTGTTAATGGGTTTTTTTTTCCTATCAGTGAGGTTTTTTAAAACTAGTCTTTTTCTTATGATTGTGAGGGCTAAGAAACAGTGTATATAAAATTCCTGGCACTATGCACTGAAATATATTTTCACATTATTTATTTTCAGTTTACATTAGCTTTGTTCCTCTGTTAAGTAACTATTTGATGAGAACTATTACATAAACTTACAGAAGATCTTTAGGTGATCCAAGTAGTACCTGTCCCTTAATTAAAATTGTGTTTGGATGTAAAACTAATATGAGTGTTAGGGTACTGTGAATCACATGTTTAACTTAAAATTACTGAGCATTCTTTGATAGTAAAATTATTTTATTTATCTCCAGGAATCCATCAACAGTATCAAGGCCAGACTAAGCAAAAGTGGTCATATCCAGACTCTGCTTAGAGCATTTGAAGCTCGTGATCGAAACATACAAGAAAGCAACTTTGATAGAGTCAATTTCTGGTCTATGGTTAACTTAGTGGTAATGGTGGTAGTGTCAGCAATTCAGGTTTATATGCTAAAGAGTCTATTTGAAGATAAGAGGAAAAGTAGAACTTAAAACTTTAGAGTAATTAACATTGGGGGAAAAAAAGACAGAAAAATGCAATACACTGTTATAATCAAGACCATTAATAGTCTTTCCAAAAAATGTTTTCAGGCATTACCACAAGTGTGAAACAAGTATAATTTTAAGGTGAAAGGAGTCTTCACTTTCGTCTGTGCAAGTAATCTTATTGCTTCAGTTGTACTTAAGTGTATAACAAATATTTCACAGAGTATAGGTATAATTGAATGAAGCCATATTTATCAGCATTTTCCTAAGTTTGAAAAAGTTTTGCAAATGTCATAGGTGATTTAAATAAATGAACTTTGGGCCTAAATGCAACACCAAACATTGTTTTTAAAAGACTGTCTTACCTAGAAGTTTCTTTGTAAATGTGGCAATTACAAATTAGAATTTTTCAGTATATTGAAGTTTCTTTGTAAATGTGGCAATTATAAATTAATTGTATAATTTTTCAGTATATTAAATTATAAATCATCTGAGAATTACCTCATCATGGATTGGATATATCTTTAGAAGACAAAAACTCAGTTTTTCTTTTTACATATATATTTCTCCTGTAATGTAAATAGAAGCATAGCTGTGAAAAGCAGATTTGTGAGATTTTTATAACCAAATATATTTCAATTTAAACTATTAGCAAAAAGTATTAAATACTTAGCTTATATTCCCCAAAGGCCAACATTTTAATAATATTTAAAAATGCTCAGTCATTATTAAAATTGGAACAGATTTTCTCTTTGAAATGAAATAGCTAAAGGCTGCTCACAGTCTCCATAAGGACACATTTGGTCTAGTCCTTAACTCAGCACTAGAATTTTGAAATTAAATGTGAGGGAAAATAATTTTATTTTTATATTACCTATCAGCAGTGTTATTAGTTTTAACATGATAACTGACTTGGATAATACATTATTACCAGCAGGTGTGAAGGAAATACTGCTTAAAAATCTGGGGTTTACATAAATAAGTATCTCCTTTTCTGAGTTCTCAAAATCAGCAACAACAATCAATAAAGAAGAATTTAGGTAAGCTTGAGAACACCTGATGAAAATTAAGTTCACTTAAATAAACTGTAAGCATCTGAAATCTGATTGGTTCATCGTAATGACCCAATCCTAATATCAATCATGAGACTAAATTCCAGGTAACTGAAGAAACTATACTTGGCTAGGGTTTTATTTTTTACAGTTGTTTTATTCTGTTTTGAATTGTCTAAGTATTCAGGTACATTTTATGAAACAAACTCTACTGTAAGGTTTAGCACTGGGTACATACATTACAATTGTTATAACTTTCATTAAATGACCTTTCTGATCACTTTATTTATTGACATTCAAGTAAGGATTTGAAAGCCCACAGAATCCCAAATTTAAAGTGGTATGTGAGTAACTCTTTGTAAAGTCTCTGCCATCCTTGCTTATTGCAATCTGGGGAGTATTACTTAAATACTAGTAATTTAGCTACATCATGAATTAAATAGAATTTTTAGGTTATACCCATTTGTAATATTAAGACAAATATGAGAAATCAACTTAAAAATTTGAGTATAGAACCTCTCTGTACATTAGTACTGCTGGAATTCTTAATAAGCAGTGATATTGAGAGAATGGTTTCATTTACTAATTTATAGTCAGAGTGGTACAAAAAGAGATTTACTTCCCTCCTTCTTAGGCCCTTGGGAGAACAAAAAGATTAGCTATCCCTACTACGAAGCTTTTAAAAAATGAGGTAAATGCCATATATAATTGATTACCTTAACTGGCCAAGAAAATGTTTAAGTGTCCAGGAGTAGTGCCTAGAATACATGCAAAACAAGGGCCAACAATCACCTGTGAAGAGACCTCCCTTCCCCCCTTCTGTTAAACTCATTATGAGAAGCAACCTTACCATACTATAACTAATAAAACAGTACAGATATAAACTACTGCATCTTCTTTATAAAACTGTGATCAAGAATTCTACCTCTGGCTGGTTACTGCACTATACTCTTGATTCCTTACCTGACAATGAACTTGTTACATTATCTACAGATGATTTGTGCCACTGATTTTAAACCTATGATTCAGTAACGTCTTATAATGGCCTTATCTGGAAAAAAGGAACTTAGGAATATTGAGGACATAATTTTATTTTTTATAGGCACAAAATGAAGAGTGGGATTAAGAAGGATGTTACTTGTATTAACCAAAAATATAATTAGCAAAGAACTAAATTCTTTAATATTTCTACAGGCATATAGTTTATCTGCCTTGTTTTTTTAAATGTCAGTACTCAATTTTGAAATTAAAATTATGCTAAAATTAAGCAACTTATCACTTAATGACTGATTTTGTCTTCAGTTTTTAGTTATATAAACTTAAAATACAATATTTAAGGCCTAGAGTTTTACTCTTATTTGCATTTGGGTCATTAATGATGTGCTGTTCTTTCATGTGAATGTCAAGGTATAGAAGGTAAGTGAATGTCAAGGTATAGAAGGCAATTAAGTGGTTGAAATAGCATGGAAATAAATTACAAATTCAGATGTAATTTTGTTAAGTATTTTTATCCTTAAATATTGTTACTGTCTTAAATTAGCAAAAATTGAGTACCTATAATTGTAAGCCTCCTTAAGTAATTCTTTATCTTAAATTTTTTAAAAGATTCAGCATGTAATAACTTTCCATCTTAATATGCAATCAGCGTTGCTCAAATTGCTTTATAGTTGTGAATAGCCATATTAAATGAGCAATGAATACTGTTCTGAATATATATAATAAAATTTATAATCAAAGAAAATCTTACTGATCTACCAGTTATTGTAAATGCTAATCCTTAAAACCTTCACTGATCTCATCTTAGCCATGTGTGCTCTCCCTTCCATTTGAAAACCCATAGTTCTTTGTACTTCTTATTGTATATCATTCTACCTTGCATTGGAGTTCTGTTTACATGTGTTCTTATTCATCTGTTGCCCAAACATGCATTGTAACTATAAGGTGCTCAGAAGCAGTGGGGAAAAAGGCAAAGATCACCTCCAAGTTTGGAATGCTAAATAAGCCCTCAAAGAGCTTCTTCCACTCCTCTAACCCCACACCATAAATTGTTTGTCTGTAATATGGCTCTAGAATCTTAATTTTTAACTGACACAACTTGGGATTCTGGTGTCCATTATCTTTGGACCATCTGCTAACTAGGTAATACTAGGAAATCAAAATTCCTTTGAGCCTATATTGTGTGTAGAAACATTTTAGATAGCATCTTAAAACTTGGTTAAAATCACATATAAAAGAGTCCGGTGCTTGGTGGAGGTTGGTTATTGGTTATTTCCTTCATACCATCCAGACAAGACACTCTTCCCCTACAAGCTCACAGAATTCCTTAGGCACCTTTCTGCTTCTGCACTCCCATCACCTTTAGGTGTCTGGGTTTCTGGAAGGTTTGTGTCATTAAAAACTAGAGCTACACTACACTTAATGTCTCTCTGGAAAAGGGGCACAGAATAAAGAATCCAGACCTAAAATGATGTTACATGAAAAGAGGGCACAATGAGGTGGGACTCTGGATCCCTGTATCTGAAAGAAAAAGGTGAGAAATTGCCAAGCAGGGAAAAATTTGGAGGTCTTAAAAATGACCGTGAGTCAACAGCAAAATGAACAGAGAATCAGTATCCATCACTGAAATGAACTCCTTTCTATATAAAGAGACTACTCCCCAGTCCTGGAAGTTTTCAAGTGGCAGTAATGATCAAATGTCAAAGGGTTTATTTTTACATTGGATATCAAGTGGGAGGAGGGACTAAAAACCTAACCTTTCTACCCTTACTTAAATTCTAAAAGGACTAGTAATGCTATTCGTAGGAGAAAGCTGAAAGAAAAGGCCACAGCTTAAAAAGACACATTTAAGTGTTCCATTTTGCTGGATTCTTGCTTGATATTCAAAACCAAATTGGAAACAAAAAACCACAATACCATGGATAATCACTCCAACAGAAATGATATAGTTAGGTGTAAATCTAAAAAAAACATGTATAAGACCTGTATGCTGAAAATCACAAAAGTTGGTGAAAGATTAAATGCCCAAATAAGTAGAGAAATGTACCACGTGCCATGGATTGGAAGGTCAATTCTTCCTAAATCTATAAATTTAGCATAATTCCTATCAAAATCCAGTAAGATCTTTTTTAAAGATTTTTTAAGATTTTATTTATTTATTTGAAAGAGAGAGACACAGCAAGAGAGGGAACACAAGCAGGGGGACTGGGAGAGGGAGAAGCAGGCTTCCCACAGAGCAGGGAGCCCAATGTGGGGCTCAGTCCTGGGACCCTGGGACCATGACCTGAGCCGAAAGCAGATGCTTAATGACTGAGCCACCCAGGCACCTCCAGCAAAACTTTTTTTTAAGATTTATTTATTTTGGGGGGCGCCTGGGTGGCTCAGTTGGTTAAGCGACTGCCTTCGGCTCAGGTCATGATCCTGGAGCCCCCCCCCAACCCGGGTTCAGGCTCCCTGCTCAGGTGGGAGCCTGCTTCTCCCTCTCCCTCTGTGTTCTCTCTCTCTCTCTCAAATAAATAAATAAAATCTTTAAAAAAAAAAAAGATTTATTTATTTTTAGAGAGTGCAGGGGCAGAAGGAGAGAATCCCAAGCAGACTCCCCACTGAGCACAGAGGCTGCTGCAGGGCTTGATCTCACAACCCTGAGATCATGACCTCAGTCAAAATCAAGAGTGGGAAGCTTAACGACAGCCACCCAGGCGCCCCGCTGCCTTCGGCTCAGATCATGATCCCAGGGTCCTGGGATCGAGCCCCGCATCGGGCTCCCCACTGGGCAGGAAGCCTGCTTCTCCCTCTCCCACACCCCAACTTGTGTTCCTGCTCTAACTCTGTCAAATAAATAAAATCTTCAAAAAAAAAAAAAAGGCAGCCTTTTAAATAGTGCTATGGCAATTCGAATAAACAGGTAAAAACATGAACTTTAATGTAAGAAAACTGCAAAGCTTTTCAAAAAAAATTAAAAAATCTTCAGGACCTAGAAGTGCTAGGGCTAGACAAAATTTTCACACTTGACAGTAAATGCATGATGCATAAAAAGAAAAACTGATAAACTAGAACTCATCAGAAGTAAAAACTTTTGCACCACCAAAGACCCTGTTATGGGGTTGGAAAAAGCAAGCTACAGAAAAGGAGAAAATAGGGGTGCCCAGGTGGCTCAGTCGTTACGCATCTGCCTTCGGCTCAGGTCATGATCCCAGGGTCCTGGGATCGAGCCCCGCATCAGGCTCCCTGCTCCATGGGAAGCCTGCTTCTCCCTCTCCCACTCCCCCTGCCTGTGTTCCCTCTCTCGCTGTGTCTCTGTCAAATAAATAGATAAAATCTTTAAAAAGAAAAAAAATATATGTGAACTACCTA